ACTACTACCAAAATAAGCTACTTTTTGTCTATTTACTAGGTATACAGATTTCTCAAGCTTTAAATGACTACTTGTTTAGTCTAAACTCTTCCATTCTGGACACTAAAGTCTTAGGTGAGTGTACTAAGAAACCAAGAAAGTGGTATCACGCACAGCCAGTTGAATAGAAGATTTCTTCACTCAGCCAGCTGATTCTGACTTCGTGCACATTCATTATTCCAAGTACACAGTATTGCCTCAAATTTAGAGCCAAGTCAGACACTGGCTCAATAATCTAGTTTAGATCCACAGTAAAATTAATGGATAGTCTAAACAAAACCATACACTTAACCCACACATGAACATCGTTATGCTAAGAATAATCATCAATTAACTGTATTTAACCAAGAATAAGAGTGCTTAGTATTTTTTAAACCATTTCTCATTTTAAACATAGTTTTATTCAACTATGCAGTTGGGAATTAAATAATTTATCAGGACAACAAATTCTCTTTTTAGTGTTTGTAAAGCACTTAATACTTTAATAACCATGTGCTCTAAAATAAAAGCCAAACCAAACAAACCTCAAACTAACAAACAGAGGATAGATTATCTTAATTGCTTATATTTTGCAAGCACTGAAGAAAAGCTCGTATAAAAGGACCACTTCAGTTCAGGGAGTGCAGTGACTCTTTTTAAACAAGAAGACAATAATCTTACCTCCTTCTCCTTTTGCACTCTTCATAAGGAAGGGTCAAAAAATATCTTCTATTCCATAGTTCATTAAGTGGCCTAAGATAATAACATATTTAGTTCCCTCTTCCATTTTAGGGTAGCTTTTTATTTACCAGGTTACATATTACTGCTTACTCATAATTGTAAAGGAGAAAGCCTTCAACAATCAAAATATAAACATTTTTCAGACTGTCACATGTATTCTCTGGCTCTTCTGTCACAAAACCTGAGCTTGCTGGGCTTTTCATCCAATTGCGAATACTTGTCACCATTTCATCCATATAGAGGGCATCAAGTACTAGATGAAAACAAAGTTAAACATCCCTTAAAGACAAAGTATAAAAAAGAAAAAAAGAACCTTTAAGTATCCCTACGTTAATCAGTAAGAATCAAATAATCTACATACAAATTTAAACAAAGGGGAACAGGATTACCCCAAAGATAATATACACAGTTCTGTCCTTGCTATTGATTATTTCCTGAAACCAAAGCTTGCTCTAGGATTGGGGTATTTCTGTTGGGTGTAGAGTCTCTCTGAACTTTATGGCATCTAATATTGTCTGAACTGAATTCACAGCTTTTCACTTCATGACAGAAACTTCAGGGACTGCTCTCTGCTTTCAGAAAACTTGTAAAAATTTATCAATCCTGACACCTCCACCATTTTGTCAGTTTTGTCAGAGGCGGAAGTAGATGCTCAACATTTTTTGCTTTGGGTTTTTATAAGGTTCATCAGTTTGGCATAGAGAGAGTTAAAGGACCATGGTGTACAAAGCAAAACAGCACAATGGAACACCTGTTTTTGTCTGTAGACACACAAGAATATATTGAGGAAATACTGAAAGGTAGAAATAAGGTAGCTTGTGGATACCATAACAGCAAACACATTTTTAAAGAGCTTTTAAGAGCAGCATTAAACCTGGATATTTGAATAAGAATGTCCATTTTATCCCTCCAGTTTCACATTCCATTTACATGGCGTCTAGAAGTTGAGCCAAAGATTGCATAGCTGGTAATGACCAGTTTTCAGATGCAACTGAAGGGTCTGACCAATATTCTCAGCAATACGTTTTGTGATCACGAAGTACTAACAGAGATTAGCTATTAACCAAGCAACTGTTTACAAGTAGATATGACCTGACACAAAACACTGCCCTAAAGTGGATCTGGATCTAGATGTCTCGAAGAATAAACTGAGCCAGCATTTATCATGGATTTAAAAATATATGTCCTTTATGTGAGATCTGACATTAAATAAAGGTGTCAGGATAAACCCAAGTTTTGACTGACTTGGAAAACCCAATATGATATCCCACGAGCTCACCAGCAAAAGCAGAAAAAAAAAAGGCCATTACCAAGTAATGAGATTAAGCTTATGCCAGTACTGCAAGCCAAGACTTCTAACTGAATAGTACCATTTGCTACTAAACCAGACACAAATGAAGAAACAGAGAAAAAAACTCAAACGAGGAAAGGAAAGATCAATCCTAGCTTGAGCTACTTACTTGTTAAGCAAGTTTTCTTAAGTATCTCAGTGAGCTGAAGAAAATTAAGAGGATTGCTCTGAAACAGCCACCTGTTTACTGCTTTGGAAGGGAACAGAGCGAGGGGTGGGGTGGCAGAAGTGTTGAAGCTCAGCACAACAATTTCAGTACAATGTTCAAAAGCAGTGCATCAGAGTTACTGACCATCATATAGCTTAAATCCACGTTCATCTGTTTCTACTTCAGACTCTGGCTGAAGGGGAAAAAAATTTCATTTTTTCAAGGTTGCTTTTATGACCATGCTGAGAGATACATACTCTGTTTATAAACATTAGGGTTATACACTTTTGTATCCAATTAGTTAAATTTATCTTCAACATTAAACTGATGTAAACAACTGTTAAAATACACTGCAAAAACTTTATTTAATCTAGAACAACAAACACTCCAAATCATATTACTTAAATTCATTAGAGCTTTACTTGAGAAAAGTGTGTGTCAAAACACAAGCTGTTTTTCTGTTTTGACTTGGGAGACAAAGAACTACTTATTGTTGTATGGGTGTAGGCTTAAGACAGTATGATTAAACTCATTAGCACAAAGGATCTTGAAAAATGCATCCACCATATACTCATGCCTTATTTTAAAAGAATGGCAAAAAAGACAGGAAATTTCTTTCAGCTAAGTATATTCAGGAGTTTGGCCACTTAAATTTCAGTTACCCCAGTGCTCATTTTATAATTCTTATAAAATTAACATTACTTTAAGCAGCATCAATTTTAAAAGTTCACCAATAGAAGAACTGAAAAAATAATTTAAATCTACTCAAGCCTATTTTTACCTATCAGGTTTTTCCATTAAAACTGTTACCTTAAAGAAGTCGTCTTGAGAGATTGTATCACAGTTGGGAAGCATATTCTTAAGTTTTTCTGCTAGTGTTGTTTTTCCTCCATTTGTTACACTGTTAAAAAACATTGCAAGAAGTCCACCACGACAAAAACTAATCTTTTAAACATATGTACAAGCTCAAACACACATTTCTGTATAGTTATATGCAAATAAACAATACAACTTCCCCAAAATTTTAGTCACATTAAATACTCTCTACCTCTAGAAATTTTCTGGCATGTTCCATCAGTTTTCAAAAATCAGTACAGTAAATCAAGCAGTGCCAAGAAAGATGCTATAGACACCTGCACCTGAGGTCTCCAACTGACACAGAACAATTTCTGAAGAGTTACATGCTATAAAACTATACAATTATAAGTTGCATTTGTAACTCAGTAAAAAAAAAATATGTATTCAGAAATAGAAATTACATCATATCGTTCTGAGAAGAAGACTAGTCTTAAGCTGTAGAGGAAATTTAATTTTGTATAACTTACCCCCCAAGGCCAATAACCAATACTTTCATAGTTTGTTTTCTCCTCAGTTCTTCCTTTTTACTGTCAAAAAAAAACCGCCAGTGAAAAATCTTAATTTCAGGAACAAGAAGGCAACTATGGTATTAAGAAATACCAATTATACAGTTAATTTATTTTCTCTCTGCTGTCTATCATTTCTCTTTTTGCAAAGGTACAGTCAGAATCTCAGTTACTTGTTCTAATGCTAACAAAAAATCTGCAGTATATATGCCCCATCTTAAATTCCAATGTACTTTAATTTTGACAGTATTTTAATACTTCGAAAGGAACTCTGGGAGACTTGATTCTAACAATGTTAACATCATGCAAGTTCCTAAAGAAAAACACAATCACTAGCTCAAGCATTAACAATATAAAAAAGACTAGGTAAACAGAAGCTGTGGTGGCAAAACAAAATCATTAAGAAAGAAACAAGTGGCATGCTGAGGAGAAAGACATTTTAAAATTTCATGAAGACTTGTAACAAAGAGTATGTTCAAAAACTCTATTATGAGCCTGGTCTCAGGCTCAATATAATATTCACTGTTATTCACCACTCCCTTTCTGAGAGTATTAACATCACAGACCACACAAATCCTCCTCCTCTGGCCCACCACAGATCAATCTGGAAGAATTAAAACTACTGCAAGGGCAGTTTAAGCCATTCTAGCTGATTTAGCATTGAGAAGTACTAGGTAGCACTTGATTTTCCCCTGAAAAGATCGAAGAGTAAACTCTAAAGGTTAATTTGTCCACCATATCCCTGCTGCTTCCACCATATCCCACTAACTCGGAGGCTCTGACTGCCTGAACACCTTCAGTAGTCAGAGCTGCCAGGAGACACAATTACTGCCTTGTCCCAGCTCCTTCCCCTGAACTTTCTTCTGGAATGGGTGTTTGCAGAGTGCATAGTGAAGTATCCTGGAAAAATACTGCAGCTGAAAAACAGTTCTGCAAAAGACAGGGGAAACAATGTTTGTTTTCAGTTTCACACATCAATTTATAACTATTTACCCACATGCAAACACCCCTTTTTTCATCTGCTCTAACCTCCTAGGTCATGCTTAAAAGGCAAGAACTATGACACCTAAGACCTGAAAGAACTGAGCAGGTAAAACTCTCCCTGCCTCCAACAAACAAGTATCTGTACTGTACTAGGAAAAAGACTGTTACAGGGCATCAGTATGAAAAAAAAACCCCACACTGTTTCTGTGAAAGGAAGCTTTAGACACGTGTGGAGGCTGAAATAATATCATCCTCTTGCATTTGGTGCAATGACTGGAAGTTCCACTGTTTCACATATCTGTGATATGATCTTTGCATGCTTTTTAATGTATGGCTATGTTAAAAAAAAAAAAAGCAACAAAAGACATATCGACTAGTCCAAGCCATCACCCGTATGATAGCCATTGCTTTGCAATGGTGCTGCTTATCTGCAGCTGCAGATAAGCAATGCAGCAATGGTGCTGCACTAGTTGGCATCTGTGAGTTTTTTAAGTTAGTGCACATTGTTTTTCTAGGAATATTAAAATTTTCAAATTCAGTGATGCACTGAATGCTCATAGTACAGGCTATCAATGCAAAGAGGGAAGATGGATAATTTTTTTTTTAAGAAGTGATGATACTCAGGGTATTTTAAAAATAAGATTTAAAAGCTCATTTCTAAAAGTCATCAGTAAGGTTTGTGTTGCAGAGGATTACCCTTTGTCCCACAAAGGGTGTTACACAACAAATCGGACAAACACGTTCACCTTTGGACTTTAATTTATGTCATCGTCTATATGCAAATTAATCCCAGTCTGCGGCAAAAAATACCATCATAAAAAAACACACCAACTCTTCTGCCGCCCCGAGTAATGTGTAAAACAAATTTCAAAAGCAAATTTGTCACAAATGCTGCAAAACAGAAACCATACACTACTCTAGCTTGGGTCAATTTGTCTCTTTAAGCAGAGCACAAACCCCATGGCAGCGCTAGCACATCACTGCAGTCACCCTTTTTAAGGGCATACCGCGGCAACGCTGCTCCGCACGGGGCCACACGAAGGCGCACCGGACCCGCACCGGGAACGTCTCTCACAGCTACGGGCCCACACAGCGAGGCTGCCGGAGGTTCTCGGCCGCGCCTCCGCCAGTTGCAGTTCCAGCGCTCCAGCGCCTCCGGAGTTCGCACTTCACTCCAACCACGCCGCGAGGGTGCCAGCAGCACGTCCTTCCGCCAGCAAGGCTCCGCGCCGGCGGAGCGCCCGCCTCCTACGTCCTGTCACGGAGCTGCGCGGGCCGCGCCCGCCTCCGAGCTGGGGCGGTCCCGCGCACACGACGCCCCAGCCGACTTCCAGGGAGCAGCCTCCTCGCAGCCGCTCGGGCCGCCCCCGTCCCTCGGGCCGCTCGGCCCGGCCCCGCCCGGAGGCGAGCGCGGAGAGGGAAGCGGCGGGGCCTCCTCCCGCGGCGCGCGCGCTGATTGGCCGTGTGCCGCCCGGGGCCGGGACAGCTCCTGCGGCCGGCGGGGGCGGGAGGGACTGGCCGGGACGCGCCCTTCGTCCCGGCTCCTGCCGCGCTGTGCCCGGGGACTGCTGGGGTTCGCACCGCCGCCTCTCACTGCGGCCCCGCGCCCGGGCAGCCGATCGCCGTCGCGCCGCTCCCCCGTCCGTGCTTAGGCCAGCCATGTCTAAGCCGCCACCTAAACCGGCCAAGCCAGGTGAGGGAAGGACAGAGCGGCCTGGCCCGTCCTCGCCGTGCGGGGCGCGACGCAGCCTGCTGCTGCTGATACGTGAACGGCTTGGGTTTTGGGTCTGCGCTCTCAAGCAGCCCGGGCGAGGGTGGGAGCGGACACAGCTGTCCTTCCGTTCCGGACCGCGCCCTGCCGCCATGAACCTCAGCACCGCACGCCTGGTGTCGGCGGGGAGGGCTGCTCCTCCCATGGCTGGAAAGCAGCGGGGGCTGTCCTCGGGCACCGTGTCTGGGCCGGGCCCCCGCCCGCTGTAGCTCGGGAGAAGACTGGGGAGTGCCCCAGGTGAGAGCCATCGCCCGGGACCAGGCTCCCCGTGTCACGGGCTTGGCAGAGCCCTCTTGCCCCGGCCGTGCTCGTCTGCAGCGCGGTACCCAGCGATGGCACTTGGCGTCGTGGCCTGCCCGGTTGGCGGTGGCCGTCCGGGAGCTGCTTGCGTAGCCTGAAATGCTCAGGAAATCTTTTACCCTTCTAAGAAACAGCGCTGAAGTGCTTTGGGGTTGTCTCGTGATTGCATGTATTGGCAATATATTAACACATAAAATCAGTTTTGTAGTGTAGTCGCATGCAACATTTTTCATCTTTAAAGATGGAATCCACTGTTTTCCCATGTAAGACTCCTAACAGCCAAACTCTAAATATGTTCTTTGAAATTCAGGTATCAATGTGCACCTGACTCTTTCTAGTGCATTTAGTCCTCAGTGTGTAAGGTGTTGCTCCTGCGTTTTTTTCAGAAAAATTTACTGCAAAGCCGATTTTCTAAAAAAATTAATAGTGACCGTAGCTTTTTCTAAAAATAAATTGAAAAGCCATTGGAAGTTGCATAGTTTTAATTCTTAAAATAGAAGTGGAATTTTTCGGGTAAATATACATTATTCTGTCACAAATTTAACCATTAACTTTAGGGTTTTGAGTTTTTTTAAGTAAGGAACTGATCTGGAAAATTTAGTGGCTATTTAATATGTTTTTGTGTCATCTGTCAGTGTAAAAGCTTAAATTCTTACTTAGAAATTAAAAATCCACTCTCCCAAACTAGAATTATCTGATCCCTAAGTATATCCAAACTTCAGATTTTTTTGCACTTAGAATACTGTTTGAAATGCCGATGTAAAAAAAAAAAAGTAATAATAATGTTTAGCCTAATTGAGTATTTTAACTAGACAGCTTATAAAACAGATTTTTAATTTGAAGTCAAGTAAGTGCATAAACAAGTTTAGACTATTTAAACCATCAGTCTCATCCTGCCTGCAGAAGCAAAATCTGCTGAAGCTCTCTGGCTGTAATTTCATCCTTAGAAGAATTTCCTCTGCTCTGTAGTTTGCTAAGCTTCTTTGAAAACAGCTTACTTGAAATTAAAAAGACAGTAATAAAAGCATTGCTGTTGTGGACCCTTACCAAAAACAATCAGTACAGAGGAAATCTGCAGGCTTCTGAAAGGATGTGGTGTTTCACAGCTGAATATGTATGAAAAATGGGATTTTCCGATGAAGTTCATAGCTCAGTTTTCTGTTTTCCAAGAAGATGAGTCAAATTTAATGTAAGATTCTTAAGGTGTTAGAGGCTGTAGCCCTGTCTGACTTACAGGAGCTCTCAGACTGACTCAGTGTTCTGTCTAATACTAGGTGTCTCTCCCTGGTTTGGTGGGGTGCAGTTTGTGGTGTGCTTGATCTGATAAAATGCAGACTGTCATCAAAAGGACAGTTTCCCTACCCCCACCATTCCTTTCTGTTCCATTTAGTTACGTGACAAGCTGGTGGTGCTCTCAACTTTTTTATGTATGGTTATTTGTATGTCTATGTAAGGTTGTTTTTATGTCTGATGAACTTGCTGAGCTGGTTTACCAGCATGAGTGCTTGACACAGCAAAAGGAAATTTGTAGGAGAAGGAAGACAAAGAAAGTAAGATTGTCTTGCTAATGACTTTCAGACCTGATTAAGGGGTAATAAGATTAATTTTTCCAAATCCCTGACTTCTGAGGAGAGAAAATTTTGTGGCATCTGTTGTGTCAGATTTTTTCGAAGTAATTTTTCTGAAAAGGATTGCCTTCTAGCGTACTTCTAAATATCTCTGTAGTTGCATGTCTGACTTCTGTATGTTAATACAGAATACAGATAATACACCTTTGATACTGTGATCGAATTTCTTAGGATTATAGATAGATGTTATTTAAATACATAAATATAGGAACTTTATGTGGTGACACAGCAGTGGAAGGCTGTCTCTTTCAGTGGCATTTTGACTGCTTTTGCTAGAATGTCTTGATGCCTTTGGCCAAGCTGTGTTGATTTTTCTTCACTGACTATTGGGTATCAAGTCTTTAAGTTCTGTCAGGACACAGCAAGCCTGCTTGCATTGCTGATGAGTTGCTACAGTTCAGGACAGACAGGAGAGAAAACCAGACAATGGTAGCTGTCCTGCGTTCCTCTGTGTTTGGGAAATAAGCAGTGCAGATTGGACAGAGAAGGAGGGAAATATTTCAGTGGTGGGGAAGTGAAAATATATGGTGAAATAAATTTCCTTTTTAAAACACTGAGTCTTCACTGCTTAACTCAGTGATTTTGGACCTGAGTTTAGTGCTTTAAAAACATGGGGAAAAGAGGTGATATGAAGGGGCAAAACCAACTAGCTGTGACACTGCCATTTTCTTCTGTACATGAGAATATTTTTTCTGACAGACTGCTTTTGTGTAAATCCTGTTGTGTGCACAGCACATAAGGATTTCAATTACAGAGAGATGGTTTTGACATCAACATATGACAATTGTGTTTGTGAACACTTGGGCTAGTCTTTTGGGTCTGTAGTCAGCGCTTGGGTAGGGGACAAGATTGTTTATAGAGACTATAAATTCTTCAGTTTATAGTGTTTTGAGGCTTTTTTTTAAGAAGTGCTTTGCTTTTCTTGGGTAACTCTGTATTGTAACTGTTTTCTAGCTGTAGTTTTTACTTAGACTCTTTATCAAAAACAAAACGGAATGGAGCGGATGTTGAAAATAGCAGAAACTTTTCTGTCGGCATTATGCAACAGTAGGGTTTCCCCTCCATCTTTTAAGAAATCTGCTGATGTCTCAAACTACATTATTCTTTGCAGAGTTCGTATCATGTTGGATATTAATCCTGTTTACAAAAGTTGCTTATGAAGTCCTTGGATTTGACAAGCTTTAAGGGCTTCTGCTTAGTTGTCTGTTACTTAAACAGTGTTTTCTTGAAGAGTGCTAACTGTCTGGTGATGTCTTTTTGATTAGAGCCTTGTATAGTGTGCAGCAAAAGCTTTTGGCGGGGGATGAAAGGGGTGTACTGATATTTTTAAAAAAACCTTACTTTCATGTAAGGTTTGTTGATCCTGGCCTAGAGTTGAGACAACATTTGTATTTTATGGAGAAAGACCAGCCTTTGTACCAAGGAAATTAGAATTTTGAATTACTCCAGTTCAGAGGGAGGCAGGAGGAAATATAAGGATTTAACATAATGGGTTGCTATCTCAATGCAGTCTTGTTGACTTTCCTCCCGCTAGTAGCTGTCAGAGGTAAAAATAGGGTTCTTGACATAAATACTTAGTTTGAGTCATAAACAAGTTCACCTCAATTCTAAGGTGAAGTAGGAGCTGTGACAGCATTCACAGGAGCAGAACACTCGCATTGAGTCACATGCCTTGGTAGTCGGCTTAAATTTGAAATAAGTGGTGGTGGTTTGGTTTTCTTCTGTACTCAAAGAAAGGTTTCTGTTAGCTAGGAAGATGTGAGCATGTGGATGTGGGGACATACACTGTAATCATCAGGTCTGAGGGGAGAAAAACATCAGAGAAATAATTAAACAGTTTCTAGTCTGCTTTCAATATGAATTACAAACTTTCATTTCTGACCTCAAATGCTCTTATTACTGCAAGTGAAGGCATGCTGGTATTCATAAAAATAAAATTTATAAGAAACAGAAGATTTCAGCATCAGGCTATGACAGTGACGTTGTGTTCTCTTACATCTTCTGTGAGAATATTTTTCTTCTGATTTTCTGTAAGGAAATGACGTTTGTTCCTTCCATTCCAGACACTGATTAGTGCTGTCCATGATTGTTCCTGGATACCTCAGTTTGTCATCTAGGCTGGTACCAGTCTATCCTTTGCATTTTTTAGTATGCCCTTCCCCCCTCCCCCAACATGTATTCTCTGTGTTCACTTCCCCTTTCTGGTAAGCGTTACTTAGAAGCTGAAGATGGTTCTCTAAACACTGGGGACTCTGCTGTGTCTGCGAGCAAAATGCAAAGTACAAATGGCACTCCTATAAAAAGTATTTCCAATACTTCGGTACCTGTTTGGAGACTTGTGTGCAAAGCACCTTGTTTTCCAATTTTGAATGCTACAAGCTTGGGGCAGAGAGTCTAGAAAGCTTCTTGGAGGAAAAGGACCTGAGGGTGTTGGTCAGCAGCTGGCTGAACATGAGCCAGCCCCGGTAGCCAAGAAGGCCACTGGCATCCTGGCTTGCATGAAAAATGGTGTGGGCAGCAGACAGTACCTGTCCCTCTGTATTGGCTGGTGAGGCTGCACCTGAAGTCTTGTGTCTGTTTCTGGGCCCCTCACTAGAAAAAAGACATTGAGGTGCTGGAGAGAGTCCAGAGAAGCGCAGCGGAGCTGGTGAAGGGTCTGGAGAGCAGGCTTGGGAGACCTAATTGCTTTCTATGAGTATCTGAAGAGAGGTTGTACAAAGGTGTGTGCTTTTCTCTTGTCCCAGGTGACAAGTGATAGGATGAGAGAAAGTGGCCTCAAGTTTTGCTGTGGAAGTTTAGTTTGGATATTAAGGAAAATTTCGTCACTGAAAGTGTTTGTCAGGTATTGGAACAGGCTTTGCATATTTTCACCTTTTGGGTCATTTGCTACAGGTAGGGGTTCAAATTAGTTGTTTTCAATCAAGTTGGTCCTTGAGTAACTGATTCTGAACTGTTTCTGTCCAGCGTTGTGGAAGCAAGGAGAAAGGTGGCTGA